CCATATGTCACACAGTTCCTCTGGTGGGATGAAGTTGGACAGACACTCTCACCCTGACCTCCACTCACCATATGTCACACAGTTCCTCTGGTGGGATGGAGTTGGACAGACACTCTCAACCTGACCTCCACTCACCATATGTCACACAGTTCCTCTGGTGGGATGGAGTTGGACAGACACTCTCAACCTGACCTCCACTCACCATATGTCACACAGTTCCTCTGGTGGGATGGAGTTGGACAGACACTCTCAACCTGACCTCCACTCACCATATGTCACACAGTTCCTCTGGTGGGATGGAGTTGGACAGACACCCTCACCCTGACCTCCACTCACCATATGTCACACAGTTCCTCTGGTGGGATGGAGTTGGGCAGACACTCTCACCCTGACCTCCACTCACCATATGTCACACAGTTCCTCTGGTGGGATGGAGTTGGACAGACACCCTCAACCCTGACCTCCACTCACCATATGTCACACAGTTCCTCTGGTGGGATGGAGTTGGACAGACACTCTCACCCTGACCTCCACTCACCATATGTCACACAGTTCCTCTGGTGGGATGGAGTTGGACAGACACTCTCAACCTGACCTCCACTCACCATATGTCACACAGTTCCTCTGGTGGGATGGAGTTGGACAGACACTCTCAACCCTGACCTCCACTCACCATATGTCACACAGTTCCTCTGGTGGGATGGAGTTGGACAGACACTCTCAACCTGACCTCCACTCACCATATGTCACACAGTTCCTCTGGTGGGATGGAGTTGGGCAGACACCCTCACCCTGACCTCCACTCACCATATGTCACACAGTTCCTCTGGTGGGATGGAGTTGGGCAGACACTCTCAACCTGACCTCCACTCACCATATGTCACACAGTTCCTCTGGTGGGATGGAGTTGGGCAGACACTCAACCCTGACCTCCACTCACCATATGTCACACAGTTCCTCTGGTGGGATGGAGTTGGACAGACACTCTCAACCTGACCTCCACTCACCATATGTCACACAGTTCCTCTGGTGGGATGGAGTTGGACAGACACTCTCACCCTGACCTCCACTCACCATATGTCACACAGTTCCTCTGGTGGGATGGAGTTGGACAGACACTCTCAACCTGACCTCCACTCACCATATGTCACACAGTTCCTCTGGTGGGATGGAGTTGGGCAGACACTCTCAACCTGACCTCCACTCACCATATGTCACACAGTTCCTCTGGTGGGATGGAGTTGGACAGACACTCTCAACCTGACCTCCACTCACCATATGTCACACAGTTCCTCTGGTGGGATGGAGTTGGACAGACACTCTCAACCTGACCTCCACTCACCATATGTCACACAGTTCCTCTGGTGGGATGGAGTTGGACAGACACTCTCAACCTGACCTCCACTCACCATATGTCACACAGTTCCTCTGGTGGGATGGAAGTTGGACAGACACTCTCAACCCTGACCTCCACTCACCATATGTCACACAGTTCCTCTGGTGGGATGGAGTTGGACAGACACTCTCAACCTGACCTCCACTCACCATATGTCACACAGTTCCTCTGGTGGGATGGAGTTGGACAGACACTCTCACCCTGACCTCCACTCACCATATGTCACACAGTTCCTCTGGTGGGATGGAGTTGGACAGACACTCTCACCCCTGACCTCCACTCACCATATGTCACACAGTTCCTCTGGTGGGATGGAGTTGGGCAGACACTCTCAACCTGACCTCCACTCACCATATGTCACACAGTTCCTCTGGTGGGATGGAGTTGGACAGACACTCTCACCCCTGACCTCCACTCACCATATGTCACACAGTTCCTCTGGTGGGATGGAGTTGGACAGACACTCCTCACCCTGACCTCCACTCACCATATGTCACACAGTTCCTCTGGTGGGATGGAGTTGGACAGACACTCTCAACCTGACCTCCACTCACCATATGTCACACAGTTCCTCTGGTGGGATGGAGTTGGACAGACACTCTCACCCTGACCTCCACTCACCATATGTCACACAGTTCCTCTGGTGGGATGGAGTTGGACCTGGGTTCCTCTGGTGGGATGGAGTTGGGCAGACACTCCAACCTGACCTCCTCACCATATGTCACACAGTTCCTCTGGTGGGATGGAGTTGGACAGACACTCTCAACCCTGACCTCCACTCACCATATGTCACACAGTTCCTCTGGTGGGATGGAGTTGGACAGACACCCCTCACCCTGACCTCCACTCACCATATGTCACACAGTTCCTCTGGTGGGATGGAGTTGGACAGACACTCTCACCCTGACCTCCACTCACCATATGTCACACAGTTCCTCTGGTGGGATGGAGTTGGACAGACACCCTCACCCTGACCTCCACTCACCATATGTCACACAGTTCCTCTGGTGGGATGGAGTTGGACAGACACTCTCAACCTGACCTCCACTCACCATATGTCACACAGTTCCTCTGGTGGGATGGAGTTGGGCAGACACTCTCAACCTGACCTCCACTCACCATATGTCACACAGTTCCTCTGGTGGGATGGAGTTGGACAGACACTCTCAACCTGACCTCCACTCACCATATGTCACACAGTTCCTCTGGTGGGATGGAGTTGGGCAGACACTCTCAACCTGACCTCCACTCACCATATGTCACACAGTTCCTCTGGTGGGATGGAGTTGGACAGACACTCTCAACCTGACCTCCACTCACCATATGTCACACAGTTCCTCTGGTGGGATGGAGTTGGACAGACACTCTCAACCTGACCTCCACTCACCATATGTCACACAGTTCCTCTGGTGGGATGGAGTTGGACAGACACTCTCACCCTGACCTCCACTCACCATATGTCACACAGTTCCTCTGGTGGGATGGAGTTGGGCAGACACTCTCAACCCTGACCTCCACTCACCATATGTCACACAGTTCCTCTGGTGGGATGGAGTTGGACAGACACTCTCACCCCTGACCTCCACTCACCATATGTCACACAGTTCCTCTGGTGGGATGGAGTTGGGCAGACACTCTCAACCTGACCTCCACTCACCATATGTCACACAGTTCCTCTGGTGGGATGGAGTTGGGCAGACACTCTCACCCTGACCTCCACTCACCATATGTCACACAGTTCCTCTGGTGGGATGGAGTTGGGCAGACACTCTCAACCTGACCTCCACTCACCATATGTCACACAGTTCCTCTGGTGGGATGGAGTTGGACAGACACTCTCAACCTGACCTCCACTCACCATATGTCACACAGTTCCTCTGGTGGGATGGAGTTGGACAGACACTCTCAACCTGACCTCCACTCACCATATGTCACACAGTTCCTCTGGTGGGATGAAGTTGGACAGACACTCTCACCCTGACCTCCACTCACCATATGTCACACAGTTCCTCTGGTGGGATGGAGTTGGGCAGACACTCTCACCCTGACCTCCACTCACCATATGTCACACAGTTCCTCTGGTGGGATGGAGTTGGGCAGACACTCTCAACCTGACCTCCACTCACCATATGTCACACAGTTCCTCTGGTGGGATGGAGTTGGACAGACACTCCCACCCTGACCTCCACTCACCATATGTCACACAGTTCCTCTGGTGGGATGGAGTTGGACAGACACTCTCAACCTGACCTCCACTCACCATATGTATGTCACACAGTTCCTCTGGTGGGATGGAGTTGGACAGACACCCTCAACCTGACCTCCACTCACCATATGTCACACAGTTCCTCTGGTGGGATGAAGTTGGACAGACACTCTCACCCCGACCTCCACTCACCATATGTCACACAGTTCCTCTGGTGGGATGGAGTTGGGCAGACACTCTCAACCTGACCTCCACTCACCATATGTCACACAGTTCCTCTGGTGGGATGGAGTTGGACAGACACCCTCACCCCGACCTCCACTCACCATATGTCACACAGTTCCTCTGGTGGGATGAAGTTGGACAGACACTCTCACCCTGACCTCCACTCACCATATGTCACACAGTTCCTCTGGTGGGATGGAGTTGGACAGACACCCACATCCTGACCTCCACTCACCATATGTCACACAGTTCCTCTGGTGGGATGAAGTTGGACAGACACTCTCAACCTGACCTCCACTCACCATATGTCACACAGTTCCTCTGGTGGGATGGAGTTGGACAGACACCCACATCCCGACCTCCACTCACCATATCTCACACAGTTCCTCTGGTGGGATGAAGTTGGACAGACACTCTCACCCCGACCTCCACTCACCATATGTCACACAGTTCCTCTGGTGGGATGAAGTTGGACAGACACTCTCAACCTGACCTCCACTCACCATATGTCACACAGTTCCTCTGGTGGGATGGAGTTGGGCAGACACTCTCAACCTGACCTCCACTCACCATATGTCACACAGTTCCTCTGGTGGGATGGAGTTGGGCAGACACTCTCACCCTGACCTCCACTCACCATATGTCACACGGTTCCTCTGGTGGGATGGAGTTGGGCAGACACTCTCAACCTGACCTCCACTCACCATATGTCACACAGTTCCTCTGGTGGGATAAAGTTGGACAGACACTCTCAACCTGACCTCGACTCACTGTATGTCACACAGTTCCTCTGGTGTGATGGAGTTGGGCAGACACTCTCAACCTGACCTCGACTCACCATATGTCACACAGTTCTTCTGGTGTGATAAAGTTGGGCACACACTCTCAACCTGACCTCCACTCACCATATGTCACAGAGTTCCTCTGGTGGGATAAAGTTGGACAGACACTCTCAACCTGACCTCGACTCACTGTATGTCACACAGTTCCTCTGGTGTGATGGAGTTGGGCAGACACTCTCAACCTGACCTCGACTCACCATATGTCACACAGTTCTTCTGGTGTGATAAAGTTGGGCACACATTCTCAACCTGACCTCCACTCATCATATGTCACACAGTTCCTCTGGTGGGATGGAGTTGGACAGACACCCTCACCCTGACCTCCACTCACCATATGTCACATAATTTCTCCGATGGGATGAAGCTGGGCAGACATCGCCACTTTCCACACAGATCACACTGTACCCAAGTGGTGGATGTGTCCTCCTGTCTTGAGGGTGTGGCAGGTGGATCAAGCATCTCTGTGTGGACAGCAGGGCTTGGTTTCTTGCTGTTTTTAGATGACTTGTTCTGGCGGCGACTGTATGTTCTCACCAGGCTGGGGAGCTGTAGGGAATAGTCTCAAGTATCACAATTGTAATAGCTGCAGATGTAAATTCATTTCCACAGATGATTTTTAAATGTAGCATCTGACACTACCAAGCAACTACCACTACCACCTATCAACTCCCTGGACTCGTTAGGAGGCCCCAGCAAACAACCCAGTAAATAGCACTTGTACCTTCTTCCGCTTGAGGCTGTTCCTGGGTCGGAGGCGACTGGGCATGGGTTCTATGAGCTCCTCAACCAGCTGTCTGGCCGGGGCGTAGCGCCACTCTGGGTTCACCTCGCGGATGGCCTGAATGTCTTTCTCAAACTCCTCCCTGAAGTGAACAGTTGACACCACTGCTAGCAAACTGTTGAAAAGACGTACACAGAAAGATCATGCTTTACCGACTTAACTGATTTGTCAATAGTCTGACATCACGTCTCTCAACATGAAAGTGAAATCAACTGCCCTGTATGTGTCACACAAACTCCCAGAAATTCTTAGACATGTTTACACGTGGTTTTCTGACGATAATTCGTGAACATGGGAATCTTACTCATAGGGCTTCTTTTCCTCATTGCTCAGCTTCCTCCACTTGCAACCCAACATGCGTGAGATCTCGCGGTTGTCCAGTCTCGGGTGCTTTACTGCAATCTGCTGTCGGTGCTCAATGGAAAACCGGATGAAACCATTCTTAGGTCGCCGCGGCTCATCAACTGCAGTTTGAGACAAAGTATATTTTAGGTTTAGGTCTGGTTTATCAAAAAATAGGGGTAGGTGGTTCATGTTGATATATCACAATGGTTTTGCACACCACATAATTTGGTCACTGAAAATTACTTCAATTTTGTGTATGTTTGGTTCATTTTATGATAAATTTGGCATGAAGTATTACGTTACAAACAGTTAAATATCAACAAATGTCAACCTATTTTGTCTATAACAACAGCCACATGAATACAAATTTAGATGCCAATTTGTCTACATCCAGCACGTTTCTGTAAACATCTGGGGCATACTTAAGAATAACTAGAAGGCTTGGTGTACATGATGATCCTGACCACAATGTGGATGCCGTGTTGTATGTGTATACACTGTGTAGACCAGTGACCTTCAAACTAACTAAAATTCTAGGTCACCCACCTGCCCTCCGAACTTCCCTGACCCTCACATGTTTGCTGCTGTCTTTGGAATCGGAAGATGAGGAGACATGGTTGCTGCTGGTGGGACCCAGTGTTGGCAAGGACTTGACAGAACTGAGGGATCCATATGTTGATGCAGTTGTCTGCAACCTGTCCTCTGATGACGTCACGTGTCCCACAGACCCATCACTCTCTGCTGAATGAAGCTGGCGTGCTTCTGTTGACTCTTCCATCTCGTCGATATTATTGAAGATAATTGATATTGAAGGCAGAGTTAGACTTACATCTGGGTTACCTGAACATGCCTTTGTTGAACCGCAATTCAAACTGGTTGAAAGACTCTTTGGTAGAAATGTGCGATCTTCCTTTTGAAGATTCTGAGTGCCTAGGTTCCTTTTCCGAACACGAGTGAAGACACAATCCTCTTCTACAGACTGTTGAGGTGCCCCAACCAGTAGCTGCTGCGCTGTTTGTAAATGTACCTGAGAGTGTTCCCCATCAAGTGGCTGTATATGACCCTGTTGATGTTCCCTGCCAGTTGCCTGAAGATATTCATGTGGATGTTCCCCGCCAAATAAGTGCATCTGTTGTGGGTTATCCCTGCCAGCTGACTGCAGAGGTCCCTGCTGATATTGTTGTGGATGTTCCCCACCGGTTGTCTGTAGATATCCTTGTGGATGTTCCCCACCGGTTGTCTGTAGATATTCTTGTGGATGTTCCCCACCGGTTGTCTGTAGATATCCTTGTGGATGTTCCCCACCGGTTGTCTGTAGATATCCTTGTGGATGTTCCTCACTGGTTGTCTGTAGATATCCTTGTGGGTGTTCCCTGCCGACTGATTGCATATCTCCCCGTTCATGTTCCCCACCGGTTGTCTGTAGATATTCTTGTGGATGTTCCCCACCAGTTGTCTGTAGATATCCTTGTGGGTGTGCCCTGCTGACTGATTGCATATTTCCCCGTTCATGTTCCCCGGCAGTTGTCTGTAGATGTCCTTGTGGGTGTTCCCAGCTGACTGATTGCATATCTCCCCGTTCATGTTCCCCGGTAGTTGTCTGTAGATATCCTTGTGGGTGTTCCCTGCTGACTGATTGCATATCTCCCCGTTCATGTTCCCGGGTAGTTGTCTGTAGATATCCTTGTGGGTGTTCCCTGCTGACTGATTGCATATCTCCTCGTTCATGTTCCCCGGTAGTTCTCTGGTTCCCGGGTAGTTGTCTGTAGATATCCTTGTGGGTGTTCCCTGCTGACTGATTGCATATCTCCTCGTTCATGTTCCCCGGTAGTTCTCTGTAGATATCCTTGTGGGTGTTCCCTGCTGACTGATTGCATATCTCCCCGTTCATGTTCCCCGGTAGTTGTCTGTAGATATCCTTGTGGGTGTTCCCTGCCGACTGATTGCATATCTCCCCGTTCATGTTCCCCGGTAGTTGTCTGTAGATATCCTTGTGGGTGTTCCCTGGCGACTGATTGCATATCACCCCGTTCATGTTCCCCGGTAGTTGTCTGTAGATATCCTTGTGGATATCCACAAGTTGGGAAATGTTCCCTTGTCATGGTTTGTCCAAGACCCCACTGGAAATATGCTTCCGAAACTGCCACACAACCAGCATTGTCTGTTGTGAAGTTGGTGGTGCTGGTTGGCTGGTTGGCCCAGCTGCTGTAGATCGAGGGGATGGTGACAGAGCTGTACACAGAGGTGGTGCTGCTCCTGTTGATGGGAAGACTGCACCAGCCTCCTCGCATCCCCAGTGTGGAGACCTGCTTGCAGATAGAGGGGGATATTTTGGAGTGACCAATGAACTACTTGTGAGTGGAAAAGACCGAAAACTGTTAACTGAGGCCCCATGTCATTTGATCTGGGTACAGGTATATCAAATAATAATCAGATATACCAAAAGACTTAACCCTGCTTTGGACTGCCATTCATGAGAATTTCCCAGGTATATTTACCATAAGAAAACATATGATCCATGTACAACAATTTACTATGCCAAAATACTAAGGGATATTTTGTATTTAGGTGAAACTATACGAATATACACACCACCCTATAATGTCATGTGTTAGACAATTTTCCGTTCAATTGGGTTACTGGAGTTTTTGAGCTACACAATTTATATAATACCATGGACTTCAAATTCTACAAAATAACAAAAATTAAAATGGGATACTAATATTGATATATTCACCCACCTACTTTGCACTGTAGCCTTTTACATACAAAAGGGACAAAATAAAGACAAAATCTTCTTGACAAATATATCACTATTTGAAACACCTTTTTGGAATTATTTTGGACCAGATTTAGAATAATCTTTCTGGTTAATTCTCCTGTTATGGCCTCCCATTTCCTTTATATACTTTATATCCACACACTGTATATGCCGTGAGGGCAGCAGTGTGCTAGTTTAGACTATATTTAGACAGAGTTCCAGAATGTGCTAAAACACACCTCTGATGCAAGGATAAATGTCACAGAAAGTTATGCCTTTGCATAGACTTTTCTAGCATCTTTTTTTTGTGTATATATGGGGAGCCAACTATTTCTTCTCATTTCACATTACATCCCAAGTTACCAAAAGACAAGCATTGTGTGTGATGATCAGTTACTGCCAGGCCTAGTTGCAAGCAGGATTGATGTTACTGAGAGGTGAATATTACCACAATTGCCTATAATCACTGCTCTTGTATCATACTGTATCTGTATTGCCACTCTATTTTGTTCTGTCACAGTCATACCTATGTATTGATTTGTGAACTTAGTTAATTTAAGAAAACAATTACATCACAATTCTTTGTTGTTTGCTGGTTTCTCCACTAGTTGTTTTACGGATTTCCTCACATCTATTGTTGCATTATTGAGTTCAATATACAATTGTTACAAGACAACATTGTTTACTCTGGAGAAATATGAAAAAATTCTCACCACATTATATTTTGCCATATCAACATTTTCAAAATCCTGCAGAAACAGGTCACTGTAGAAGTCGTCAAAACAGCTGATCTGAAACATGAAGAGTACGAGTCACACTCTGGTCTGGTCAAGGTTAAATATTTTACGAAAATGAAAAAAAACCTAACAATGTATGTAAATAGTACATTACTGTGATAAGTATAAATAGACTATTTCAAATATCGCATTTCCGATGCCGATGTTAGGCTAAGTAATAAAATATATCCATGCGAGAAGTGGTTACGTTCAGATTTTCCAATGTCGTTTTTTACGATAATCACAGACGAAACTCGTACTTTAACTATAATAGCTCAGGGCAAAAGTGTACTTTATTGCACTATACAAGGGGGTAAAGCAAACTATATTTCTTAAGGATCAATATGTTACCATTAACCATAGCAAAGGAATTTAACCAAACCTTAATTTTAGTAACAATATAAATAAATTGATCCTCAGGGAATAATTAAATGGCAAATCTAAACGCAAAAACAACGAAAAACTGTAGTTTATTCATTGAAGCAAACACGTCAAAAAATAGTTGTTGTGCTGATAACTATGGTCATTACAATAGCAGCCATTTTCAAGATTGCAGCATACAATCCTCCAGACATCACATTAAAGTACTGTCGGAAATAAAAACAACCCTGTTTTTGGCTGTTACTCTGTATCCCAAAAATTTACACAATTGCAAATAGCATATGCGAAATAGCCCACTTCGGCCTAACTTGGTATTCAGTGGGATGCGTAATAAGATATCCAGAAAAGCATGCTTACTCGTAAAATCGGGCAAAACTTAGAAAAATTACGAATAGCTGCTCAAAACAATAGATCAGACTATATATGGCAATTAGGTCGCTCAGCCAGGTATGACGACGTCGACTCACCTAGCTTGAAATGCATGTGCTGCCTACAGACACAAGGGGTCATCTCAAAGACATTTTGTGCTTTTTCAAGTGTGTTGACTATGTCTCATCTATTGATCAACATCTAACGAGTCTTTCTTTCATATTGTTTATTTTGAGATATGTGAAAGAGTATGATACCTGATAACCATAGAAATGTCTCAAAATTATAGGTGGCATGACCACCCAATTGCTAAGACCGACAGGACTGGATATAATTTGTAAATTGTTATGAGTGTACCTCCCCATTATAATTGACCTTAAGGATGATCTTATCTTATATTCCCCAGGCGTCTAATACAGGAAATACAGAGAAGGATGTGTCTGTATAACTCTCCATTTTTTATGATGGAGCTGAGGCACATTGTTTCTTAAGTATGGAGCGTTATGAGGATATTACCCTACTTATATTATACTGTACGTGACTTGGTGAAACTGTCTTGATACATTTCCTACACCCCAACGCAGATATTCCCGAATTCTCGCGAAAACGTATATATTTTTACACATAATAATCGGTTAGATGCACCCCCTCATTAAGCGACTTACGCTGTTGTTGGTACCCGCTTAAAGTATACACTGCATATATCATGTGCTCAGATACAACTACTCTTCATTACTGTACTGTAGCAAATCTCCATTCATTCTCGGTGAATAAAAACATTACCGGTATACTGATGCCATAAATGTTATTCAGCGGAACCAACAAGCGATTATCTTCGGATAATAATTAAAATGAGTGAATTTCGGGGGACCAACTTGTGATCAGCGGATCCTTGTACTGCCATGAGGAAAACGCTGCACAGTGCCTCCTTGTGTCTGTTAAATGCTCTACAATGTTTAACACAACATGCTTGAGTATACACACCCTGACTCTAGTAGGTGAGTAAAGAAGTGACCTACCCATTCCTGTTTCCCCTCTTGGCCATGACCCATAGAGGATGCTAGAATGGAAACCAACACATATTAATGTAACAGACTCAACACTGTAGCTCACCTGAATATTTAGGGACTGTTCATAATTTATGGCTAGGGGTGGTGGTGATGATTTTTATAGAGAAGCATGTACAATGTGAATGAACCCCCCTAACATTTATGTGCAAAGTGACCCCCTTTCACGTCATGTACAAAGTCAGTGACCCCCCCACTCCTTTCCATATTTTTAAAGCATATTTTTTTAATATTTTTATGTACAAAATTGCTGACCCCCCAAGAAAATTGTGTACTAAATTGCTGACCCCTACCTCCCCAAAACAAAATGCGTGACCCCCTTAAAATCTTCATCACCCCCACCCCTAGCCATAAATCATTAACTGTCCTTTAGTCATCAGTTTAAAATGTCAGCAAAATGTCACTGAACACTAGTTGCCATCAGACTTCACATTCATATATATTCTGCAGAAATAATAAGAGAACACTAAGACTAAATGTTTAATGATTTGACCCAAACAAGATGTCAACATGAAGAAATACACAGTGAAAAAATGTCAAACTCCTCAATATTGCAATCTTAGATAACATCTCAGGTCCAAAATGTTACTCAAACTTCATCCAAAGTATTGCAAAACTATTATCAGCCCGTCTACTAACTAAGAACATCACAAATCTTAAATATGTCCAGCATTTTTAAATCGGACAGGAAGCTCTTGAACAAATTTAGCTTTATTCATTAGCAGGAACTAGTTCGTAATGTTTCAGCATCACTGGGCCTGTGGTTAGAGCTGCTGTGTTGAACCCGAGTTCTGGCCACATACACTAACACTTGTACCACACTTAGTTACATTTTGTGTTGACCCCTAGGGTTCTGACTATAGCATGGTGGCACCGAATGTCTCACTACAGCTGACTATAGCATGGTGGCACCGAATGTCTCACTACAGCTGACTATAGCATGGTGGCACCGAATGTCTCACTACAGCTGACTATAGCATGGTGGCACCGAATGTCTCAATACAGCTGACTATAGCATGGTGGCACCAAATGTCTCACTACAGCTGACTATAGCATGGTGGCACTGAATGTCTCACTACAGCTGACTATAGCATGGTGGCACCGAATGTCTCACTACAGCTGACTATAGCATGGTGGCACTGCATGTCTCACTACAGCTGACTATAGCATGGTGGCACCGAATGTCTCACTACAGCTGACTATAGCATGGTGGCACCGAATGTCTCACTACAGCTGACTATAGCATGGTGGCACTGAATGTCTCAATACAGCTGACTATAGCATGGTGGCACTGAATGTCTCACTACAGCTGACTATAGCATGGTGGCACCGAATGTCTCAATACAGCTGACTATAGCATGGTGGCACCGAATGCATGGTGGCACTGAATGTCTCACTACAGCTGACTATAGCATGGTGGCACTGAATGTCTCACTACAGCTGACTATAGCATGGTGGCACCGAATGTCTCACTACAGCTGACTATAGCATGGTGGCACCGAATGTCTCACTACAGCTACAGCTGACTATAGCATGGTGGCACCGTCTCAACAGCTGTCTCAACAGCTGACTACAGCTGACTATAGCATGGTGGCACCGAATGTCTCACTACAGCTGACTATAGCATGGTGGCACTATAGCGAATGTCTCACTACAGCTGACTATAGCATGGTGGCACCACTACAGCTGAATGTCTCACTACAGCTGACTATAGCATGGTGGCACTGCACCAGCTGAATGTCTCACTACAGCTGACTATAGCATGGTGGCACCGAATGTCTCACTACAGCTGACTATAGCATGGTGGCACCGAATGATGTCTCACTACAGCTGACTATAGCATGGTGGCACCGAATGTCTCACTACAGCTGACTATAGCATGGTGGCACCGAATGTCTCACTACAGCTGACTATAGCATGGTGGCACTGCATGTCTCACTACAGCTGACTATAGCATGGTGGCACTGAATGTCTCACTACAGCTGACTATAGCATGGTGGCACCGAATGTCTCACTACAGCTGACTATAGCATGGTGGCACCGAATGTCTCACTACAGCTGACTATAGCATGGTGGCACCGAATGTCTCACTACAGCTGACTATAGCATGGTGGCACCGAATGTCTCACTACAGCTGACTATAGCATGGTGGCACTGAATGTCTCACTACAGCTGACTATGGAATGGTAGCAGTAAATGTCTCACTACAGCTGACTATAGGATGGTTGCACTGAATGACTCATTACAGCTGACTATAGGATGGTGGCACCGAATGTCTCACTACAGCTGACTATAGCACGGTGGCACCGAATGTCTCACTACAGCGGACTATATGATGGTGGCACTGAATGATTCACTACAGCTGACTATAGGATGGTGGCACTGAATGTCTCACTACAGCTGACTATAGCATGGTGGCACTGAATGTCTCACTACAGCTGACTATGGAATGGTAGCAGTAAATGTGTCACTACAGCTGACTATAGGGTGGTGGCACTGAATGACTCACTACAGCTGACTATAGCATGGTGGCACTGAATGACTCACTACAGCTGACTATAGGATGGTGGCACTGAATGTCTCACTACAGCTGACTATAGCATGGTGGCACCGAATGACTCACTACACCTGACTATAGGCATGGTGGCACTGAATGACTCACTACAGCTGACTATGGAATGGTAGCACCGAATGTCTCACTACAGCTGACTATAGGATGGTGGCACTGAATGACTCACTACAGCTGACTATAGCATGGTGGCACTGAATGTCTCACTACAGCTGACTATAGCATGGTGGCACCGAATGTCTCACTACAGCTGACTATAGCATGGTGGCACTGAATGATCTCACTACAGCTGACTATAGGATGGTGGCACTGAATGTCTCACTACAGCTGACTATAGGATGGTGGCACTGAATGTCTCACTACAGCTGACTATGGGATGGTGGCACTGAATGTCTCACTACAGCTGACTATGGAATGGTGGCAGTGAATGTCTCACTACAGCTGACTATGGGATGGTGGCACTGAATGTCTCACTACAGCTGACTATGGAATGGTGGCAGTGAATGTCTCACTACAGCTGACTATAGGATGGTGGCACTGAATGTCTCACTACAGCTGACTATGGAATGGTAGCAGTGAATGTCTCACTACAGCTGACTATGGAATGGTGGCACTGAAATGTCTCACTACAGCTGACTATGGGATGGTGGCAGTGAATGTCTCACTACAGCTGACTATGAGCATGGTGGCACTGAATGTCTCACTACAGCTGACTATAGCATGGTGGCAGTGAATGTCTCACTACAGCTGACTATAGGATGGTGGCACTGAATGTCTCACTACAGCTGACTATAGGATGGTGGCACTGAATGTCTCACTACAGCTGACTATGGGATGGTGGCACTGAATGTCTCACTACAGCTGACTATAGGATGGTGCCACTGAATGTCTCACTACAGCTGACTATAGGATGTTGGCACTGAATCTTTCACTACAGCTGACTATGGGATGGTGGCACTGAATGTCTGACTACAGGGGACTATAGGATGGTGGCACTGAATCTTTCACTACAGCTGACTATGGGATGGTGGCACTGAATGTCTGACTACAGGGGACTATAGGATGGTGCCACTGAATCTCTCACTACAGCTGACTATAGGATGTTGGCACTGAATCTCTCACTACAGCTGACTATGGGATGGTGGCACTGAATGTCTGACTACAGGGGACTATAGGATGGTGGCACTGAATCTCTCACTACAGCTGACTATAGGATGTTGGCACTGAATCTCTCACTACAGCTGACTATGGGATGGTGGCACTGAATGTCTGACTACAGGGACTATAGGATGTTGGCACTGAATCTCTCACTACAGCTGACTATGGGATGGTGGCACTGAATGTCTGACTACAGGGGACTATAGGATGGTGCCACTGAATCTCTCACTACAGCTGACTATAGGATGGTGGCACTGAATCTCTCACTACAGCTGACTATGGGATGGTGGCACTGAATGTCTGACTACAGGGGACTATAGGATGGTGGCACTGAATGTCTCACTACAGCTGACTATGGGATGGTGGCACTGAATGTCTGACTACAGGGGACTATAGGATGGTGGCACTGAATGTCTCACTACAGCTGACTATAGCATGGTGGCACTGAATCTCTCACTACAGCTGACTATGGAATGGTAGCAGTAAATGTGTCACTACAGCTGACTAGAGGGTGGTGCCACTGAATGACTCACTACAGCTGACTATAGGATGGTGCCACTGAATGACTCACTACAGCTGACTATGGGATGGTGGCACTGAATGGCTCACTACAGCTGACTATAGGATGGTGCCAATGAATGACTCACTACACCTGACTATAAGATGGTGGCACTGAATGACTCACTACAGCTGACTATGGAATGGTAGCAGTAAATGTCTCACTACAGCTGACTATAGGATAGTGGCACAGAATGACTCATTACAGCTGACTATAGGATGGTGGCACTGAATGACTCACTACATTTTCGCTAAAGCATGATGGCACCGAATGTCTCACTACAGCGGACTATAGGATGGTGGCACTGAATGATTCACTACAGCGGACTATAGGATGGTGGCACTGAATGTCTCACTACAGCTGACTATAGGATGGTGGCACTGAATGTCTCACTACAGCTGACTATGGGATGGTGGCACTGAATGTCTCACTACAGCTGACTATGGAACGGTAGCAGTGAATGTCTCACTACAGCTGACTATGGGATGGTGGCACTGAATGTCTCACTGCAACTGACTATGGAATGGTCGCAGTGAATGTCTCACTACAGCTGACTATAGCATGGTGGCACTGAATATCTCACTACAACTGACTATGGAATGGTAGCAGTGAAGGTCTCACTACAGCTGACTATGGGATGGTGGCACTAAATGTCTCACTACAGCTGACTATGGGATGGTAGCAGTGAATATCTCACTACAGCTGACTATGAGATGGTGGCACTGAATGTCTCACTACAGCTGACTATGGAACGGTAGCAGTGAATGTCTCACTACAGCTGACTATAGGATGGTGCCACTGAATCTCTCACTACAGCTGACTATAGGATGTTGGCACTGAATCTCTCACTACAGTGACTATGGGATGGTGGCACTGAATGTCTGACTACAGCTGACTATAGGATGGTGCCACTGAATCTCTCACTACAGCTGACTATAGGATGTTGGCACTGAATCTTTCACTACAGCTGACTATGGGATGGTGGCACTGAATGTCTGACTACAGGGGACTATAGGATGGTGGCACTGAATCTTTCACTACAGCTGACTATGGGATGGTGGCACTGAATGTCTGACTACAGGGGACTATAGGATGGTGCCACTGAATCTCTCACTACAGCTGACTATAGGATGTTGGCACTGAATCTCTCACTACAGCTGACTATGGGATGGTGGCACTGAATGTCTGACTACAGGGACTATAGGATGGTGGCACTGAATCTCTCACTACAGCTGACTATAGGATGTTGGCACTGAATCTCTCACTACAGCTGACTATGGGATGGTGGCACTGAATGTCTGACTACAGGGGACTATAGGATGTTGGCACTGAATCTCTCACTACAGCTGACTATGGGATGGTGGCACTGAATGTCTGACTACAGGGGACTATAGGATGGTGCCACTGAATCTCTCACTACAGCTGACTATAGGATGTTGGCACTGAATCTCTCACTACAGCTGACTATGGGATGGTGGCACTGAATGTCTGACTACAGCTGACTATAGGATGGTGCCACTGAATCTCTCACTACAGCTGACTATAGGATGGTGGCACTGAATCTCTCACTACAGCTGACTATGGGATGGTGGCACTGAATGTCTGACTACAGGGGACTATGACTACAGGGGACTATAGGATGGTGGCACTGAATGTCTCACTACAGCTGACAGGTGGCACTGAATGTCCGACTACAGGGGACTATAGGATGGTGGCACTGAATGTCTGACTACAGGGGACTATAGGATGGTGCCACTGAATCTCTCACTACAGCTGACTATAGGATGTTGGCACTGAATCTCTCACTACAGCTGACTATGGGATGGTGGCACTGAATGTCTGACTACAGGGGACTATAGGATGGTGGCACTGAATGTCTCACTACAGCTGACTATGGGATGGTGGCACTGAATGTCTCACTACAGGGACTATAGGATGGTGGCACTGAATGTCTCACTACAGCTGACTATAGGATGTTGGCACTGAATCTCTCACTACAGCTGACTATGGGATGGTGGCACTGAATGTCTCACTACAGCTGACTATGGATGGTGGCTATGTCTGACTACAGGGTGCACTGAATGACTACAGCTAGGTGGTGCCACTGAATCTCTCACTACAGCTGACTACAGGATGTTGGCACTGAATCTCTCACTACAGCTGACTATGGGATGGTGGCACTGAATGTCTGACTACAGGGGACTATAGGATGGTGGCACTGAATCTCTCACTACAGCTGACTATAGGATGTTGGCACTGAATCTCTCACTACAGCTGACTATGGGATGGTGGCACTGAATGTCTGACTACAGGGGACTATAGGATGGTGGCACTGAATCTCTCACTACAGCTGACTATAGGATGTTGGCACTGAATCTCTCACTACAGCTGACTATGGGATGGTGGCACTGAATGTCTGACTACAGCTGACTAATGTCTGACTACAGGATGGTGCCACTGAATCTCTCATACAGCTGACTATAGGATGTTGGCACTGAATGGCACTGAATCTCTCACTACAGCTGACTATGGGATGTTGGCACTGAATCTCTCACTACAGCTGACTATGCACAAAAAGAAAATTGATTGATTTTCCAAGTTAACATGTTGAAGGAACATACATCATCTGTAGGGCAGTCTGTGATTCTTTAAAAAAACAGTTATTATTTTTGTAAAAAATACAGTCAAGTAAATGTATTCTTTGATGGCTGACTCAATGACAATCACTTTCCCTTTTCATATTTAGAATAGCTAACTTAAGATACTTTCAGTAGAGAATTATGAAATCAGCTGAGAAGTTAAATGTTTTACTCTTCAATATATTTGCAGCTTACCTTGCTGGCTCTTGTGGTTGTGGTCGGTGCCGGCTGGGTTGTCTCCACTCCAGCTCTGTGGGAGACAATACATAGGAAGTGCTTATCAATCCTTTAAATAAAGATCGCTTTCTCTTATTCAGCTCCAGTTTTATGTTTTCTTCCCACACGAAGCTTTTATCATTACTGAAATACTGTTCAAAGCAAACTTACTCATAACAGGTCCATCGTTAGAGAACTCTCTTCCGGTCAACATTTATTAATGTCATTAAAAAGTTAAAATTTAACAAAAGAAAGAAACCAGTGGCAAAACATATGCGTTTTGTAGCTTCCTCCCAGGATAGGCTTCACGTGGTTTTTTAAAAGGTCTTTTAGTTTTTGAGTTGTATGTCTGGTTTTGTTATTTTGTTGTTTAGACATTTTGTACTAATTTAAGATGTAAAAACCTTTACGTGAGACTATAAAAAAAATCCATTATTTTTTATATATCCACAAATATAATCATCCGTATAAATTAAAGTTTAAGCATATGGTATAGCTTCACTAGTTAATAAGTAAAATTTAAAGTCAGAACTTGGGGGACACGAAGATACATGACACATTGTTATTATTCTTTGATACTGTGTAGTATTCCTAATTCGGTGGGTCATAGGCTGCGTCAGTACAAACCAACCAACCCCCCAACCCCCGGTACCTAGAGCACATATAGCCACACCATATGGATCAGCCAAATTGCATCTATAGATGTTAACTGAAGTACGCCCATTTCCTCGTTTTGAGCCTCATAGTTTTAACAGGCCTCCGGGAACGCTCCTCCATTCCCCACAAAAAGCTTTGTCACATATCAGAAAATTAGCTAATATATTGATATCCTGAGTTATTTTGTCCTGCTAAATCTTCAGCTAGGTCTATCTTAACCTAATTCCGAAATCACTGATACAATGTTAATTTGGGTAGATCCACTTTTAACAGGTTGTCAATCAGTCCCTGGTCCCAGTGCATCCTAGCCACTCGTTCGGCTGTGTGTATGACCTTGACCGAAGGGCCTCAACCTATACAGATGTGTGACACGCCTACGTGACCTACATAGAGAGCACCATGTACAAATTATTGGATATGTGCGCACTGGGAGATGGCTTGTGGCAATAAAATACCCCATGCATTTAACTGAATATGTTTACCACCAAACTGAAACGATGTAAGGACCATACTGTAGTGAAATATTGTATCGATCGTTGTATTGATTATATGTTTTCGTTAACGCCATACATTTCAGGACGTCAGTCTTTACGAGGCGAGGCGGTTGCGTCAGACATTGAAAATGCTCGAATGATGTCTTGTGTTTAGCAAGAAATTGTCCTTAATAAGTGACATGTTCCGCAATTGTTCATGTAAATTGAGAAAACAACGGATGTTCTTAAATGCGCCCGAAAATCCATAACACGAAAATAATATAAGAACATGCACTGTTACTGTTTGCCAAGGGTTAGATCTACTGCAGACAGCTATAATTATATGGGCTGTACAAATTGCAACATTGATATACATTGATGTAGCTGGTCTGTTTGCCCTCTACAGTAACCCATAGTGGGCTTTACCTCTGTATATTTCTGAAAACAGGCCCGTAACGTTTTCGCGGAACACGCTGACCAAACTGCGCTGAATTAAGGGGTCGTCGTTAGCACGAAAACTTAATTACAGCTTTGTACCCCAGGTACGACACGTACCCGGCCAAAATGTGAAGACAGATTCTGATTACAGAAACCTAGGGTAAGGACAGCGACCCCTTCAGCCCAAATGCGGGCAGGAACACCTATCATAACCTATGGCAAAGCACGTGAAAGTGAAATGTGTCTACAGCAGATCTGCTACGTATACCTACCTGTGGCCCTATGTGGTTCCAAAGATCAGCACAGTTTCCATTTTGCCACTGTGCATCCATGACACTGTTTCCAAAGACTGTTATCTGGAACTGACCAAAAACTGAAATGGTACAGATAAACCATGCGCGGATCCAGAGGGGGGGTGCGGGGTGCCCCCCCCCCCCCAAGAGTGTTCCAAATGTACTACATGTTTTATGCCCAGGGTTCCGAGGATTGGGGTGCACCCCCCCAAACTAAAATCCTGTATCCGCCCCTGGATAAACATTAAAGATGATACTTAGTGGACTGACATGCTTGAATATCAAAAATGAGCTAGGTTGCGGGATCTGTATAAATAAACGACATATTCGAATCTAAAATATTATTTTAATCGACTGATGTATTTCTTGAACAAGAAAAGAAAATGTACACACCCTTTCCTTGTCCAGCAGCAAGGCATACAGCCTTCTTGTGCACTCCAGTTATGAAACTACGGAATGCTGGAGGTGGTCTACCCGGGTCAACAAGTGCGCGTGTTTGTCTGAGCTGTCATTGGTCACCAGCATAATGATTGACACTTTCGGACACACCAGGGCGTCATTATAACGCACAAACTGCTTACATTTTGAAACGATGTTGTTTCTGATTCTGATTGTTCATCTTGCACATTGTTTCAAACTACACACTCCAAACACAAGTACGAGAAAAACAAGTGTTCTAGTATTGTCACATTTGGTAAACACTACTATATTGAAAACAACTGTGGTGAACTATATTCATTAATAGAATCGAACATTCGCTACAGTAGGCTTCTCATGGGGTATACTGTTTAGTGTAAAATACATGTAACTAAAAACCTGTCGTAAAGGTGAAATGACTCCATTTCATGATGTGAAAGATTAACTAGATTATATTGATAATATAACTAAAGCCATGATTCAAACTTTACAGCAGATTGTAATCGTCCTAAATCTTGTAAACAAATCTTGGTATATGAAAAAAAATATGCTAAAACAAATGCTACCAAAAACGGAACTAGCAATATCAATTTCCGGGTACAGAGAGACTGCCGATCTTCAATTGCATAGAAATATTTTACAGCTTGTCTTCTATTCAAGTCTTTCTTGCTGAAAAAGTCGAAACAATAATGTCTGCATGCTGACTAAAGCCTCAAATGACTACCGACTTGAAGCAACCCGCAACCCGGGTCGTTTAACGTATCATATTTAGAAAAAGTTTATTCGGAAAATGCTTGTGATATGAAAATGATTGTGATATGCATATTTGACGCACTTTCCACATGCTATAACAAAATACCTTGAATATCAGGTGGTCAAAATAAATATGTTATTGTATATTCCATCTTAGTTGACAGCCAAACAACGTGCGTCTACATGGCTGAGACCGGGGTCAATTGTAACACTTTTTACTTAACTTCTTGTAGTTCGATCCCAGACGACCGCTCACAAAGTTAATCGGTACTAACTAGTACATTGGCTTCTTGGCTTTAAACCTCAGCGTCGTTTCAAGTTCACTATCATGTCTTTACAAAGTTATTACGTATCAAATGCAATGACTACAAGTGTTACAACTGACCCCTAGCACGGGGCAATTGTAACAGGTGGATGGGGCAATTGTAACAAAGAAGGTTCAAATGTAACAATTTGTTTATTTTCCAATAAAATCAAAATAAAATGTGGAAAGATGTTATCTTGATCAGTTGAGGTGGAAATGGATTAACAATAAACCTTTATCACCACCGACATTTCAAATGTTTTTCGTTTAAAATTCATGTATTGGTATGCCCAAAATATAATAAAAAGACTTACACCAAAAACTTTCACCCGAGGCTAAAGCTATCAACATTACACTGAAAATGTTCTACTATGATAAACCTAGTAAAGAACTAACATAAAACCTTCATCATAATTTGCTTTATTATCATAACACAAGGGAAAATTACATTGGGGCAATTGTAACACAGTGTTACAATTGCCCCGATGGCAGTAGCCATATTTCATGCCACGTCACACGTTAACAACCTTGGGCTTCTCAAATATTTCTACTTCCAAATATGTCGTAATATCTAAATTTTACACTTGAAAAGTTAATTTCATACCAAACACCATTTACTGCATTAAGAACGGTTTAATACGTTTTGTGAAAAATTTACTTACCTATGTGAAAAACGATTTTTCGTCAACTGTATCTCGCCATAAGCGAGCAGATGAAAAACGCCTGGATGAGTACCGCAGGAAAGTAAAGGGAAATAACTCTACTCACCTACACTATGCTTGAGCGAAAACTTTTAGAGTAATCGCCCTTGTTTCAATTAACCCGTGTTACAATGTGACCCCGGTCTCCCCTACTTGGTATGTATGTATGTGTGTGTGTGCGCGCGTGCGCGTATGTGTGCGTGTGTGTGTATACGGACAGACAATAGTGAGGTAATTATCCAGGAGACATAACACAGTGGAAAACAGAGGATGAACCAACAGTACCAGAGAAACACTGTCATATTAAAAAAAAATGGCCAGCAATGCTCACTTTAAAGGCTAATACCACCATCACATCACACTCGTTTTCAGTATAGCCTACGTTCTTGAAAAATGTTGGGATCGGGCTCGAACTGTGTGCGAACGGACTGGACGTATTGGCACCTGTTTACAGTCTGTCGGACTTGGGACAGAAGTAAAGGGTGCTCCAAAACGTTGAACATGTCCAACGTTCTACCCGTTCTAAAATGGGATGGAGTGACAATGTACTTGAATCGGATTGCCGTACAAACGAACGGAACTGCCGTACGGTACTTCAATCTTATTCGGGACGTGTGCGGACGCAGTGCAGTCGGGCATCAATTGCAATACGTTGCACACAGTTTCCACCACGAACATCCCGTTCGCAGACGGACCTAACTCGACCGCACGACGCGTCCTTGGCTGCTTTTCCGTGCAAGTGTGTTAAAAATCAAAATGATTTGTTCTGAAGACGTTCATACTACGTTTCTACACGGTTCTAATAGTTCGCAATGGGTTCTCATTACGTTCTACTCGTTGTTAGTAGGTCTATGTATACAGTTCTCTCGCAGTTCACACCACGTCAACACCGTGTGCAGTACGATATGACAAGGTGGGGGACTCTCGCAGTTCATACCACGTCAACACCGTGTGCAGTACGATATGACAAGGTGGGGGACTCTCGCAGTTCACACCACGTCAACACCGTGTGCAGTACGATATGACAAAGTGGGGGACTCTCGCAGTTCACACCACGTCAACACCGAGTGCAGTACGATATGACAAGGTGGGGGACTCTCGCAGTTCACACCACGTCAACACCGTGTGCAGTACGATATGACAAGGTGGGGACTCTCGCAGTTCACACCACGTCAACACCGTGTGCAGTACGATATGACAAGGTGGGGGACTCTCGCAGTTCACACCACGTCAACACCGAGTGCAGTACGATATGACAAGGTGGGGGACTCTCGCAGTTCACACCACGTCAACACCATGTGCAGTACGATATGACAAGGTGGGGGACTCTCGCAGTTCACACCACGTCAACACCGAGTGCAGTACGATATGACAAGGTGGGGGACTCTCGCAGTTCACACCACGTCAACACCGAGTGCAGTACGATATGACAAGGTTGGGGACTCTCGCAGTTCACACCACGTCAACACCGAGTGCAGTACGATATGACAAGGTGGGGACTCTCGCAGTTCACACCACGTCAACACCGTGTGCAGTACGATATGACAAGGTGGGGGATAAAACATGCGTGTTTAACAAGTTCGTCATTTGGGATAGAGATTAATTGCTACCTTCTGAAACATGAACAAGTTTGCAGCTGTCAACATGTTGAATGCTGGTTTCCTGAAATTTTTTAATGGAAGCAGAGCAAGAGTACAATGAGTTGGTAGAGCAAGAAAGTGGGAAAAGAATAAGAACTTGTTAGGTGAGGAACTGGCTTAAACTTCTGCACTTGTGGATCTTGGACTGGATTTCCCACCACCTGTTTTTCTTGGTCCCCCCTTCTTCTTGCTTGGAGGCATGGTGATGTCGATGTGTCCACCTTGAAACTGAGAACGGGAATAAGAACGTGCAAGAACGTGCTGGGTACTTATAGAAATCGGGCCAGGACGTGATTGGTATTACGATTGCACGAGTAGTGCGAACGGGAAGAACTGCCCGAAAACGAGTTGGTCGATTTAAGAAAGAGTTAAATCGGGATTATGACTGAAAAGAACGAGGTAGGTCTAATTCAGAACGGATAAAACTGACTAAGGCCGGGATTGAACTGCTTGAACGGGCAATTTCCCCCAGTCTACACGTAACACCAAATGTCTGGGGACGGGGAAAAGACTATAGGTAGACGTACTGAGAACTGTTTATGATCGAACAAGCAGTCTAGCATCGTATCTTTTACAGAAGTTACCCGTTCTTTCCCGTTCGCGCCTGTTTTACAATTATATCTTGGACGGGACAGGACGTACTAACAACTACTTTGGTGGGACTCAGGCTTTATCTTACATTTTCCACTCAAAATCAGAAGTCATCAAAATACCTCTGTTTATCGTCCTGGAATAAGACCGATACGCCTCGGGGAAAACAAGATGGAGAGTAATAGGTATACGCTTCACTCTGGTGCTTCGCAGCGTGGCGTTGCTCGTCTACTCAACGTCCAAGAAAACACCATTTGGCATTTATGGCGATGTATTCAGCAAAGCAATTAAGTTACAGGCCGTCCCCGTAGTGGCCGCCGACCAACAACCACCCCACGTATAGACCTATGGATTTGAACCACGCACCTCCGACACAGGTTCCAATCAGCGCGTACCATACCTGATATACCTGTGAGAACAGAACTCGACGTCGACGTCTGCATTACTGGTGGAGCAGACAACACTTGGGAGTGAGTGAAAAGTGAATGAAGCAAAAATGTTCTCTTTCCGAGGATTCAGGTTTCCTTGTTCACCGAGCTGACGACAGGACATCAAGTATACTCTGGTTCCTCTTAGGTTGTTTTCGAAATGTCTAATATAGAATTACTGAATTTAGTGCGTCATAGAGTAATTAACATATTGTCAACGCGTCGTATATGGTCGACTGTGGAATTAGCTCATAATTACGATGAAGTGTACGTACAATACTTTGACAAGACGAAGGAATACGTTGAGCTCAAACTTCTTTAGTTACATGACAAACAAATACACAAGACATAAATTCGGTGAGCGGAGTACCTGCTCAACCCCAGGGTGTTTCCTACGAGCGGCATTCTCCTGCTCGTGGTCGTCCCTACAGACAGTTGGAATACCGGACTCGTCCTCTTTCACAATGTATATGTGAGCATATATATACAGTTCTTGACAACAATGGACAGGCGACGACTCAACAATGGACAGATAAAAAAACAATAGCACTTCCTTGACCAGTTGATGTGATGGCAGACACGGCCAAGGGGGATGACCAATAAAGGTTATAAATGTCATA